CCGGCCCGAGCCTCCCGGGGCCCTGGCTGCCCTCGCTCTGCGGAACGCTGGCCCAGCCCCCGGGGCGGCAAGAGCATCGCTGCCTGCCCACCCTAAGGGCTGGGGTCTTTGGGGGCTGGAGTCGTGTGGAAAAGCTGGAAGCCGTCGTGTTCCTTGGGGGCTGCCAGGTGTATTTACATGTACGAAATTTTTTTGCTAGTGGCGAGTGCTAGCAGGATGTTGGGCTGAAGCATGATCGTGCTGTTTCTGAACATGTTTGTGACCAACATCTTAAACTACACAAACGTGGAAGGAAATGGCTCCGGCTGCTGCAGAGTTGTCCAGAGCCATCTGAGGGTGGTGCGGTGTGGGCATGAGCAGGTTAGTTGCTCTTGGTGCTGGGTTTGTGGCCTGTGAGCCTGTGGCTGCAGCTTTTCTAGCAGCTCGGGGGACAGAGGAGTTGGCTTTGTGTGTCCCAGACCTTCAGGTTTTAGGGCTGTTCCGATCATGGTGCTTTAAAATGATTCTTGGGTGCACAACTAGCAAAACAAAGTCTCTCAGAAGAAACAGTGTGTCAGAGATGATTCCCTCCCCTCCAGGAAAGCATCTTGGTTTGTTCAAGTGTAAATGCCAAACCCACACACCGAGGAGCCTTTCTGCTCACTGCCTTGGCTCTGCCTCTTGTCTTTTTGCTGATAGAACTGCTCAGTGTTTTGCTGTCTCCTTCTCATTGCACAGCAAGCAGGTGTTTCTTGCCCAGTGGGATAAGAGCATATTTTAGAGGATGCCTCAGGCTTGAGGCCTGATGCTTAGACCTGGGCTTTCCTGAGGTTGGACCTGCTTTTTTCAGGGTTGATCCTGTTAAGTATTGCCCCAAGCCTTTTGCCTGTTGGCAGAATGATCCTTGCAAGGGGCAGCAGTAATATTTCACGGTGTTCAGACTCCTACTACTAGCTTGGACAGGGAGGGCAGGACATGATCCGTGTCCCTCTTACCTCATTGGGGGTCTGTTGGTTTGGACAGCTGGCAGTCAGGCAGCATGCTGGGTGCAAGCTAGAGCCTGGGGCAGCTACAGTCCCTCTGAGGCTCCTGTAGGTCTGTGGCGAGCGGTGCTCTGGTGCAGTTTGCCCGACGAGTAGAGCATGGGCTGCGGGCTCCTGCCCAAGCCCAGGGGTGCTGTAGTCCCTGCAGAATTCTGCACAGAGAACAACGCAGATGTACCTGGCTCTGGCCTATGGGGGGCAAGGGCGTGATGACTTCTGCTAGCCTGGGGTTTGTTTCACACTGCCTTGTCCTTTGTTTGATTTTAGGTTGGCGATAAGGTAATGGTCCTGGCTAGGTCAGGGCTCTGGCAAGAAGTCGTGAATGTGCCAGCTAGTCAGACTTTCCTGGTGCCTGAGGGGATGAGCTTCGAGGAAGCAGCTGCTCTTCTTGTCAACTACATCACTGCCTACATGATCCTGTTTGACTTTGGAAACCTGAGACCCAACCAGAGTGTCCTCATCCACATGGCTGCAGGTAAATAGTTTTTGCCAGCCTGTGCTGAGACTCTTAGCCTCAACATGCAGCTTCTGAATGGGTGGCGTGGGTGAGGAAGCAATCAGAATGGGACTGGACTGAGGAAATGTTGCTTGCCGGAGATGCAGGCTTCATGCTGACCCAGGCGCTGGCAAATGCTGAACCTATTTCCCAGCAGCCAGGGTTGGTCTCCCTCAGCGTATGTCACAGACATCAGCCTGCCCCAGGAAAAGCCTGTATTCCACCTGTACAAACAGGGATAATTTACCTATCCAGAGGCTTTTCTGACTGCTGGGGCTGTTTGCTTCTACGTCTTTCTCACTGCTTGTTTTCAGGTGGTGTGGGAACTGCTGCCATCCAGCTGTGCAAGACTGTAGAAAATGTCACCATTTTTGGCACAGCATCTGCCTCCAAGCATGATTCACTCAAGGAGAGTGGAGTCGCTCACCCCATTGACTACAGAACGATGGATTACGCAGAGGAGGTCCGGAAAATATCTCCCAAAGGTACCGTGTGGTGGAGGACTTCTACAACTGTGCTGCATTTCTTTCAAGTGCAAAGAAACTTCTAGTTACTTTCCATTCCCTCTAGGTGTTGACATTGTCTTGGACCCCCTGGGAGGATCCGATACATCCAAAGCATTTAACCTGTTGAAGCCAATGGGCAAACTCATCACTTACGGTAAGCGTGAGCAGCATGCCCAAACCCCAGCTGCTGCAGAGGAGAGACTGGCTGATGGCAGGGTGGATGCTCTGTGCTGCTCTGTGCCTGGACCGACAACCATGAAGGAACATCCCTGTTGCTGACTGCTGTGTGTGTTGTAGTTACATTATTTCACAAATGTCTTTAGGATGCTTTGTCTGGGTGAGGCAGTGAGGGGAGTGAGCTGTGTGCCTTGCCCCGAGAGCTTGGGTCACAGGCTCCATGGCTCTTCCCCTCCCATGGCGAGGTCTCTCTTTGAGCATGAGCCGGTGCCTGCAGGGGAAGCTGGAATGTCCTCACAGAGGAACGCTGGCACAGCTGCTTTGTCCGGGCTGACTTAATGCACAGCACTAATAGAGCCTTGCTTTTCTTCTAGAGGATGTGTGGGTGATGAGGTTTGAGGCTACTGAATACTTATCTCTCCATTCCCCAGCCCTGAAACACTGTGATTTTGTCCCACAGACAAAGCCCTCATACAGCCCCCAGTGGGATTCCAGACACTTGCACCAGTGTGCTGCTTCTGTTGTCCCAGCCATTGCAGCATGTGGCTCCCCTGAAGAAGCCTGTCTGTAGGAGAAGGGGAGTGCTCTCCTGCCAGCCTGGCTGGATGTGACTTGTAACCCTCTCTTGCCTCTGCTGGCACTCCAGTCTAGTTGTGCTGCTGCTGCCCTCCTAAGAGAGGAGGTGTTCTAGATTTTTGCAATATATGGGTGCTGATAATCCAAATTCTGCATATCTTGAGGCTGAGGCAGGTACCTGTTTCCACTGAAGGTCAGTTGGGCAGATCCTGATGTGATCCAGTTCTCACCTCTGTCCTCCATCACTGTGTGAGCGGCTGTTAACAACTCAGACAATGCGCAGGGTACATGGGGTGCCCACTGCCTCTCATGTTTTGATTCCAGCTCATCTGTGGCTTGCCTTCTTTTTAGGGGTAGCAAACCTGCTCACTGGGCAGAAGAAGAACCTTATGGCTATGGCTAAAACCTGGTGGAACCAGTTCAGCATCAATGCCTTGCAGCTACTACACCATAACAAGGCTGTGTGTGGCTACCACCTTGGATATATGGATGAAGAGTTTGAACTTGTTGGAGGTGTTGTAGCCAAGCTGGTTAACCTATACAGTCAAGGCAAAATCAAGCCCAAAATAGACTCTGTATGGCCCTTTGATCAGGTGAGTCTGAGTTAACCATATAGGCTGGCAGCACTCAGAAATTACCGTGCAATTGTTTTCTGCAGAGTGAGCTCTGGATCAGTGTGAGCACCTCGTTCGTGGAGGCTGAACTGTTGCAAATGTTTAATAACCATCTGTTCTCAGACATTCAGTCCTTTTTCCTTTTAAGATTATGAAGGGGGAGTAAAGTGGCTGGGCTCTTCTGCTCCAATGCACAGAACTGGGCAATGCCAGAGAGTGTCCTTGTGGAACAGGCAGGTGCTCAGCTTGTGCTTTGTGGGCAGCAGCAGCCCATGGGGGGGCTGGGTTATACATCAGACTGGAGACTGCCCTGAGTCTGCAGAGCTGACTTAATTAAGCGGACAGCTGGGAAGGTTGCTGCTGCCCTTCCACCAGTGAAAAAGAGCCCAGGCAGTGAAGCAGAATGAGGATGTCGGAAGGGAACGGCAGGTTTTTCAGCAGCTCTTCCATGCTCAGTATTGTTGCATCAGGGTGTCCAGCAGAGTCAGGTTCTTGCCTTGGAAATCCTTTGCTGGGGTAGGACTTAACTGCAGGGGAGCAAAGGGCTTGGTAGTGATCCGTTGGTGTTAGTACCTGAGAACTAGTCTGATGCAAATGTTTAAGGAAGACCCTGTGGATTCCAGGCCTGTCCCAGGTGCTGTTTTACTTAAAAGTATTAATAAAAATCTGTGCATGTATTGCTCTGTTGTGTAGATGGTAGAATCATTGTCCTCCTGGCTGCTGCCTGGGTTTCTGCAGTGCTCCCCCCTGTTTGAAAAGGAAGCTGTGGTGACACACACTTCATTCTTCCATGGTTTGTGTAGCAGAGCATCCTTGTGTATGTTACAGTTGGTCTGTGTGAATTCTTGAGGACAGTTTCCTATGGGCAGGCTGGGCTAGCTGTGCAACTCTGTCCAACAAGTTTATGTGGGAAGGCACCCAAATGCTTAGCCCTTGCTTGGACTGCAGGGAAAGCTGCCTCCAGGGTGGACCAAGGGCCCAGGAAGGACATGACTGCACTGCATGGTGGGTGTGGGTCTCATGGGATTCCTCTTGTTTCCAGGTGGCAGATGCCATGAGGCAGATGCAAGAGAAGAAGAATGTTGGAAAGGTCATCCTAGTTCCTGAAGCACCCAAGGAAGAATCCAAAAAAGAAGAGAACTGAGCAGATGTGTGCAGATTGTGAATTCATGGTTTAACTCTCTGATCTTTGGGACCTGGAAATGGACAGATCAGTAGCTTTCATCTTCACCAGTACAAGAACATCGTGGTTAAAGCTCAGATGAGGTTTGCATGCTCTTGTTGTGACTGACCCTTTGACAGATATGCCTCCTGCCCTTGCTCTCTGTTTTGAAGCCTGTTCATTTTGTACATTTTTCTAATCACTTGTTTCTCTACTGAATTTCCAAACTAAGCTTACTTTTCTCTGGCAGTGCAGCTGACGCTTCCAGGCAGTTGGTGACTAACAACTGCATAGCCTGTCACTGTAAAGTCAAGATGTAACATACTGCAGCAACTGCCCAGTATCTCCACAGAAACTGAGCCCTGCTGAAGCGTTTGTGCTATCACCTTTGAGAAGCTCCTTCAGC